CCGAAATGGAAGTTGTTTACTTGTAAGATCTGACCTTCTAAGAAATCAGGAGGGAGTTGATAGCCAAATCCCATTAAATCAACAAGATTCACTTACATTCCTATAAGGAAAGTAATCTGAAAACACCAATCCACTATTTGTTCCTTGTTCCTGCTTTCCTCCACTTTTTTCTGTCTATAAAACTTACTCCATTTAGCTAATCAGAGCTCCTTTCTATTTTGTAGATTGGATGCTACCAGGTTCAGGAATCACTAATAAAAGCCAATTAGGCTATGAAACTCAATTTGTTGAAATTTTCTTCTTAGACACTTTTCAACTTTTCTCCGTTTCCTCAGCTATAAAAAGAGTATAGTAGTACCACTCCAAAGTTTTTGTGAGGATTAAATAATATATATTTAGTCAAAACTGTCAGTATAATACTTTTCACATAGTATCTCTTCCAAGCTTTTGAATTTTTTGAATATTGAGGACAGCCTTATCTTATCACCCTTGCAAGCAAGAATCCTCTGAACTCTCTCTTCCAAAGTTCCTTCTTCCCCAACTTGGAGTCTGCTATAGTTTGGATGTTGGTCCCCCAAAACTTCATGTTGACATTTGATCCCCAATGTTGAAGGTGGGGCCTAATGGGAGATATTTGGGTCATGAAGGCAGATCCCTCATGAATGGCTTGGAGCTGTCCTCAAGGTAATAGAGTGAGTCCTCATTCCATTCCCTTGAGAGGTGCTTGTTAAAAAGAGCCTGGCGCCTTCCCCCCCTCACTTCCTCTCTCGCTATGTGATCTCTGCACATGCCAGCTCCCTTTCACCTTCTGCCGGCCACAAGTGGAAACAGCCTGAAGCCCTTACCAGACACAGATGCTGGCACCATGCTTCTTGTACAGCCTGCAGAACCGTGAGCCAAATAAACCTCTTTTCTTTATAAATTACCCAGCTTCAGGTATTGCTTTATAGCAACACAAATGGACTAAGACAAAGTCTTAATCACATTCAAGCATAGCTGGTCTCATGGGGTGGGATGGAGGTGGCAAAGTGGAGATTGAGGTCTTTGGTTTTCTTTCTGCTGAGTGCCTGCTGTTCAGCGCCTCTGTCCAGTAGAATGTTCTACAACTATAAGAATGTTCTAGATGTGTGCTGTCCAACCTAGAAGCCACTGGCTACATGTGTTTATTTATCACTTCAATTGTGGCTAGTGTGCCTGAGAAAATTAATTTTTACTTTTATTTATTCTTTATTATTTATTTATTTATTCTTTTTGAGACAGAGTCTTGCTCTGTTGCCTGGGCTAGAGTGCCATAGCATCAGCCTAGCTCACTGCAACCTCACACTCTTGGGCTCAAGCGATCCTCCTGCCTGAGCCTCCCAAGTAGCTGGGACTACAGGCGAGCACCACTAAGCCTGGCTAATTTTTTCTATTTTTAGTAGAGACGGGGTCTCACTCTTGCCCAGACTGGTCTCAAACTCCTGACCTCATGTGATCCTCCTGCCTCGGCCTCCCAAAGTGCTAGGATTATAGGCGTGAGCCACCATGCCCAGCCTAATTTTTACTTTTAATTAACTTAAGCTTAAAGATCTGCATGCTCTTCCTGACTGGCCTCAGAGAGGGGCCAGAAGTTTGCGAGCCGGGTTTATTGGCCTGCTCTTGTTTCTCATGGCATAGCTTGACACTAGAGGCTGTCAGAGCCTTCTTTCTATAAAGAACTTGATGACTTAGCACTTACCAACTATTATGGAATCAGATGGGTTTTTGTGCCCTTCTGTTGAGGTCTCAGTTTTCGGAGAAATCTGTTTCCACTGAAATGCTCACGTTTAAGATCTTTAGCTAGGGAGAGGCGCCAGGCTACCCCTGAAAAGCATTCAGCTCTTCCTTATGAGCACAACATACAGTTCTAGACGTGCTGAGTGAGGAAGAAGGATGGCACTTTTCTCAGAAAATGGGAAACTGCTGTCTTTGACAGGTGAGGCTTCTCTGAGTGAGGGATCCACTTAGGCCGTATGCCTGGAGTGAACAGACCTTCAGTCTCCCTACCGCCCCATCCCCACCCAACTGCCCCACTTGGAGAAAGACAGCTGTGGGGATCCAAAGCACCCTGCAATTTTTAGTTCCAATTCTCTTTATTTTATTTTTTAAGAGATGAGGTCTGGCTATATTGTCCAAGCTAGTCTTGAACTCCTGGTCTCAAGCAATTCTCTCACCTCAGCCTCTTGAGTAACTGGGACTACAGGCACACGCCACTGCAGAAAGCAAAAGTGAGGAGAGGCTGGGCATGGTGGCTCACACCTGTAATCCTAGCACTTTGGGAGGCTGAGGCAGGAGGATCGTTTGAGCTCAGGAGTTCGAGACCAGCCTGAGCAAGAGCAAGACCCCATCTCTACTAAAAATAGAAAGAAATTGGCTAGACTAAAAATATATAGAAAAAATTAGCTGAGCATGGTGGCGCATGCCTGTAGTCCCATCTACTTGGGAGGCTGAGGCAGAAGGATGGCTTGAGCCCAGGAGTTGAGCCTCATAGCTTGAGGTTGCTGTGAGCTAGGTTGATGCCACGGCACTCTAGCCTGGGCAACAGAGCGAGCCTCCATCTCAAAAAAAAAAAAAAAAAGTGAGAAGCGAGAAGAAAAGAAGGAAGAAATGGGGGTCAAGAAACTTACTGCAGCCTGTATGAGGGAGAGGTCAGCATACAAGGGATGGCAAGAACCGCCCCCACCCCCGCAGCAGCTGAGGGCCCTATTGCAGAGGCTGTGGCCAGGCATGTGGCCCCAGGTCTCCTGAGCTGTAGGGCAACGGCGCACTCAGGCTCCAAAGAGGCCCTGCCCATGTCTGGGCTGTGAGCACAGCTTTGGCTACCTCTTCCTCCTGGCCAGCCACCGACATGAGGAGCAGCTCTTCCCTGTGACAGCGTGGGCACTGCCCCCTCAGTGCAAGGATCTGCGCCAGTTCAGCTCATTCATCCACATGGGCAAGACGCTGCCACTGCCCCCAGTATGGCTGCTGCTTTTGAAAAAGTGGGGCTTGTCCCCCCACAGGCACGCACATAAGGGAGAAGCCCTATGCATGTCTTGATGGTGGGCAGCTCTTGGCCTTCCCCTCACTGTTGGGTGGACACAGGCAAATCCACACTGGTGACTGTCCCATGTTTGTGGGTCATGTAGTGTTCACTTCTCTCAGAGGGCTCACCTGGTCCAGCACCAGCTGCTCCACACAGGGGACAAACCCCTGTGCTCTGCCCGCAGCCACCTCTTCCACCTGAGGTGTCTGCACAGATGCAGACACATGTGCACTGATGGTGGGTGCCCCTTTGCACACCCCTCCCACCATTGCCTCCATGTGGCACCCCCTTTGCTGGCTGGGAAACTTGTTCCAGCACTAGCTCATTCACACAGGAGAGAAGCACTACTGCTGCTCTGACTGTTTGCCATGCGTCCACCAAAGAGGATTTGTTGGCCACTCATAGGTGTGTGCACACGCAGGTGAGAAGCCTAACCCCCGCCCACAGTGTGGCATCTGCTTCTCCTATGCCTCCCTCCTGCTTGGCCTCTCTGATGGGAGGCCCTGTCCCTGCTCTGACGGTGGGAAAAGCTTCCATTGAGAGCCCACCAGTGGATCCGGCAGACAAACAGGGAAAGGCAAGATGTGGGACCCCTCCTGGGCAGTCCCCATGCCAGTCTCTGCCCTTGGGGATCAGGACCCCCCAGTTCATGTCCACTATTTTTCAGGTAAATTCCAGGAGTGTGTGCGCTGGGTCAGGTGCCGTGCGGGAGCTCATGACGGAACATATGCTTTCTCACCGAGTGTTGGGGAAGGCCGTGCAGAGGGAGCGAGGGCTGGACCGAGGAAGAAAGGTGAGAGGTACAAAATGTCTGGGTGTCTGGAAGGCCCCCTTCAGGAAGCAGGATATGGAGGTAATGAGAAATGTATCAGTGAGGAATGTGCCACGCAGGAAGGGACAGGTCGAACTAGGCTGTATGAATCTGTCAGGAAGGGGCAAGGCTCCGTTATTGTTCATCACCTTCCCCAAGGACTAACTCTGCTTGCCCACGTCTGGGTTCACGGTGCAGCGACACCTCCAGCAAAGGTCAGGTCCAGTCAGTCCATAAGGTGAAATCTGTGTGTGCTATAACTGGAGGCTGCACTTGCAGCCACCTCCCCTCACTGAGCATGAAACAAGGAGATATGAATTTCAAAGCCTTTCACCCAGTTTAGAGCTGCCAGTGCAATGCAGAGGACATTCCAGCTTCAAATCTCACCTCTGCCTTCATGAAGAGGTTTTGAACAATAATGTATGAAGATTATGCAGAAGATTGAACCTTAGAAGAGACCAAGAGCTGAGGAATTCCTGGGTTGGCAAGCAAATTAGGATAGTGTTAAGAAAGATGCCCAGTTCAGTGATGTGAATAAAGGCCCTATCAGCCCCAGGTTTAAATCTTTGTCCCTCCTCCTTACCAGCAATGTTACCCTGGAAACTCAGGGAATTCCTCTGAGATCGTTTCTTCAACAGTAGAACCAGATGATAACCACCAGTTCACAAAATGGTAGCAAAGAATAAATAAAAGGAAATGTGTAATATGTTGGGCATGCCGCCTGCCCCCAGGAAACAATAACGTTAATTTCTTCCCCTAAAAGGGTAACAATGAAGTTAACTATCATCCAAAAGGAAGGATGCTCTGAGAAAACCACAAAAAGAACCAACGATAATCTCAGCTCTGGCTTGGCCCGAGGGGCTCTGTCGCTCAAATCCTTCCCTAATTCAGAGATAGGTCGAATCAGCCACTGAACAATGAAAAACAGTCAGAGGGCCTTCCACTGATCCTAGGTCGCCGCAACCTGCTTCAGAACTCAAGGTAGTCCTAAGGGATCAGATTCCTGCCCTTACGCCTCTGTTGGCTTCGTTCAAACAGGCGCCTTTGCCAGCACCCAATCAGAACGTTCGATCTTCGGCCAACGCCCAATGAACGCATGTAATGGAGACAGGAAAAAAAGAGGACGTGAAGCCCAATCGCAGCGCCATTACTCTTGAGGGCAGAGAGGTTAGGAAGCCGGCATGGCGCTCCGGTCAATAAAATCGATAGCTGGAAGCTGCCTGTGTTCCAGGCAAAGGCGGTGCAGTAGCAGCGCCGCCATTTTCCCCGAAGGCATCTTCCGGTGCCTTTCACCCAAGTTCGGGCAGGAGTTTCCTGAATAACAGAGAAAGGTTTCCGTTAGCCCTGCGGGCGGCCGATTCCGATTCCCTCTGGCCCTCCCCGGCCACGCTCAGCCCTGGTCCGGCTGGGGCTCCTAAATCCCGGGGTCCGCCAGCGACCAAGGGCCGAGGCCTGGACGGGGAAGGCCGTGGGGCCGGCTTCTCAGGTCCAATGGCGCCGCCTTCGGCTCCGCTAGCTGCGCGGGGACCAGGACAAGCCAGACCCAGTCGGAGAAGGGGAAGGAGGCCGAGGGCTGTGAAGTTCGTGGACGTGGCCGTGTACTTCTCCCCAGAGGAGTGGGGATGTCTGCGGCCCGCGCAGAGGGCCCTGTACCGGGACGTGATGCGGGAGACCTACGGCCACCTGGGCGCGCTCGGTGAGGCCCGGCCCAATCCGCTTCCGCGGGGCGCGAAGGGCTGGAGGAGCTTGGGGGCGGGGGGAGGGCAGGGAGTTCAAGGTCCTGGCTTGCGACCAGTTTGTGTCAGGGGAGGGGGCAGGGGCTCGGCGGGAGATGCCATCGGGTAGATATTTACCCAGTGTTACTTAGGAGCTGGCCCTCTGACTTGGTGTTCTCCTTCCCCAGGGTGCGCAGGTCCCAAACCAGCCCTTATCTCCTGGTTGGAACGAAATACCGATGACTGGGAACCAGCTGCCCTAGACCCACAGGAGTACCCAAGAGGGGTAACAGTCCAGAGAAGTGAGTGAAAAATAACCTTGGAGAGCCTGCCGCCCTCCTATAACGTTCTAGTCTCTAATGACTCAGTCCAGAGTTTTGTCCCATGACCCATGCTGTGGTGCTGCATTTACTGTGTTTATTTTCGCAGCCTCAGGTTCTTGTCTCTGGTGGTGTGGGGCGGTCCACCACACAAAGATTCCCACGTCACTTTGCAAGCTAACCACCTGCACTTCTCGATTGTGTGTAAAGGAATCAATGAGCTTTTAAAAGGAGCTACCTTCCTGCCTCCTTCCCAGGATCCCTGCCCCCAGCTCCTTTGAATTGGGTCCTGACTGAGAGACCCTAAACTTCTCAGAGTTTTCTGGGTTTTGGTTAAAAGGAGCTCGTGGGGTACCTGGGCTGCAGGCCTCTTTCTGCTCTTATGGTGGGGTGACCCTAATCAGTGAAGGACATACTGCACTTTCCTCAGGATCAAGCAAAGCTCTGGTTAACGCCATTCTGGAAGAAAGGCGCCAGCCAGATCCACCAGGGGCAGATGGAACTGTCTGGGCTGGAGTTTCTGTGCCAGATTCTCTAAGGCCAGGGATATCTTTCAGAGGTTCAGATCTAACCATCATATTTCCTTGCTTAAAACTTTTCAGTTAGTTTTTGCCAAGGTTGTCAAATGGCTGTCGGTTATATCTAAGTCATTTGGGGAACTTGGTAAAAATACAGATTCTAGGACCTCATCCCAGAACTATTGATTCACTCTTGTGGATGTCTAGGAACTTGTATTTTTTAATAGCCTCAGTTGATTTGGATATACATCCAAATTTGTGAGTCACTGGATAAAATACAGTCCAGGGTCCTTTTTTTTAATTTTTTAATTTTAATTTTTTTTTTAAATTAGAGATGGGGTCTCTTTCTTGCTCAGGCTGGTCTTGAACTCCTGAGCTCGAGCGATCCTCCTGCCTCCACCTCCCAGAGTGCTGGGATTACAGGTGTGAGCCACTACGCCTAGCCAGTCCAGGGTTCTTAATAGTTCTAACATCAGTGGTCTCAAAGTGTCCTAGATCAGCAGCACCATAACACCGGAAGTTGTTAGAAATGCAAATTCTTGGACTCTACCCTAGACCTGCTGAATCCAGTACCCAGCAATTTGTTTCAATAAGCCCTTCAAAGGATTCTGGTCACAATGAAGTTTAAGAACCATTGGCTTAGAGGGCCGTATGAGCCAGTCACTGCCAGCTCATACCTCATTCATTTCCACTTCCTGCCTTACACTTTTTGTCTAATATCTTATAGCCCGTGCACACTGAGCCTTGGGACTTTCATGCTGTCTCTTCTCCCTGCTCTGCCATTTCAATCTTTCTAACACTCCATTATGTTAGTTCATCTTTTAATAATCAACTGAGTTACATAAACCGTGGCTCATTCTACACAACCATGAAATAGAATAAGGACATGTGGTGAAATAGAATAAGGACATGTGCCGACATAGAACGATCTTTAGAATACATTAAGTGAAAAAAACGAAGGTGCAGTAAAATATGTATAAAATATATCCTTTATGTAAAAGAGATGGGAAAGAGAACATATTTGTATTGCACAAAAAACACTAGAAGGAAACTAATTAATACAGTGTCTGCAAGGTAGATGGGGACAAGGGTGGGAGCAAGCCATCTCTGTGCTCCTTTTAAAATATTTTAAATTTTGAACTATGTAAGCTACCTCTTCAAAAATGTTCAGTTTTTTAAAATCAGCTTAATCTCCTCCAAGAAATCTTACCAGACTTCTCCAAGCTAGTTTAGGGGCTCCTTTAATAAATTCCATATGTCCATAATAGTGTGTCACACTTAGCTGTCTGTGGCACTCACAATTGAGGATGGGGGCTGAGGCTATTGGTTTTCTACTTGTAATAGGCAATAGTAGGAGCCCAGTGTTTGTTAAAGTAATTTCTCGCTGTGTTCCTGTAGAAAACAGAACCAGAAAGAAGAATGGGGAGAAGGAAGTATTCCCACCTAAGGAGCCACCCCGAAAGGGAAAGCGAGGCCGGCGGCCCAGCAAACCCCGACTGATTCCCAGGCAGACATCCGGGGGCCCCATCTGCCCTGACTGTGGCTGTACCTTCCCTGATCACCCGGCCCTGGAGAGCCACAAGTGTGCCCAGAATCTGAAAAAGCCTTACCCTTGCCCAGACTGTGGGCGCCGCTTTTCCTATCCATCCCTGCTGGTCAGTCACAGGCGGGCACACTCTGGTGAGTGCCCCTATGTTTGTGACCAGTGTGGCAAACGTTTCTCTCAGCGCAAGAACCTCTCCCAGCACCAGGTTATCCATACAGGCGAGAAGCCCTACCACTGCCCTGACTGTGGCCGCTGCTTCCGTAGGAGCCGGTCCTTGGCCAATCATCGGACCACGCACACAGGCGAGAAACCCCACCAGTGCCCCAGCTGTGGGCGTCGCTTCGCCTACCCCTCCCTGCTAGCCATCCACCAGCGCACACACACAGGAGAGAAGCCCTACACCTGCCTCGAATGCAACCGCCGCTTCCGCCAGCGCACTGCCCTAGTCATTCACCAGCGCATCCACACTGGCGAGAAGCCCTACCCATGTCCGGACTGTGAGCGGCGTTTCTCCTCATCCTCTCGCCTGGTCAGTCATCGGCGTGTACACTCTGGTGAGCGTCCCTATGCCTGCGAGCACTGCGAGGCCCGCTTCTCGCAGCGCAGTACACTGCTCCAGCACCAGCTCTTGCACACGGGAGAGAAGCCCTACCCCTGCCCAGACTGTGGACGTGCCTTCCGGCGGAGCGGCTCCCTGGCCATACATCGCAGCACACACACCGAGGAGAAACTGCACGCTTGTGACGACTGTGGCCGCCGCTTTGCCTACCCCTCGCTGCTGTCCAGTCACCGGCGCGTGCACTCAGGCGAGCGGCCCTATGCCTGCGACCTTTGCTCCAAGCGTTTTGCCCAGTGGAGCCATCTGGCTCAGCACCAGCTACTGCACACTGGGGAGAAGCCTTTCCCTTGCCTTGAGTGTGGCCGATGCTTCCGCCAGAGGTGGTCTCTGGCTGTCCACAAGTGTAGCCCCAAGGCCCAAAACTGTAGCCCTAGATCTGCTACTGGGGGGCCCAGTCAGAGGGGCAATGCCCTTTAGAGTGGGAAGGACTGCATATGTTCATTTCATTTCATGGAGGGGCCCAGAAAAGGGAAGGAGGAACCATAGGTCACGCAGGGCAAAGTCAGAACTAAAACCCAGGTCTCCTGCTGCACAGAACTGAACTTTAGTATATTCCACTGCACTGGCTGCCTTCCTGTGTGTGTCAAGGACAGTCCCATTAGGAGTGATGACATCATTTGGTTAAAGTTTTCCAAGCTACTCTAGCCTAAAATAATTTATGTGTGTGGATGTCAGGGCTAAAGTTCTCTCCATCTGTTTCAGGGGCTGTCTGCTTTTCTAGAGGGTGCATATTGGGGTTACCTGTCCCCTTGCATGCAGTCAGGAGAATCCCATTTATAGGGGCAGGACCTTCTACTCTGCCTCTTCTTCTGTACCAGGTTGGAAAAACCTGGTTTGGCCCACTTTTTACAACACTCCTGCCAAGTAGTCTTCTACCCCTTGATTGAAAACTTCCCTTGACAGGGAGCTCACTACCTCACAAGGCAGGTCATTTCACCTGGGATAGCACTGGTCTTTAGAAGGTTGTCAAGTACCACATTCTCCTCTGTAAACCTTGCCTAGAATATGTTTAAATATTTCATCTACATGGCAGCCCTTCAGATAACTTAATCACAACCACTTTGCCCCCAAGTTTTCAGGTTAAATAGCACTAACATGATCAATCATCCCTTAAGACAGGGTTTCAATTCCCACATGATCTCTCTCCAAACGCACTATTTTTCAATGTCTCTTTTAAAGGGTCATACAAAAATAAGGCAGCACCCACAGTGTATGCTGTACACTTCCTTGTTCTGTACTTGTCTCAGCAGCTCTTGGTTGCACTGGATTTGGGTGCAGCTGCACTGTACCAGGGGTTTATTGTGTTGCAGATGTCTAAATGCCCTACACTTTTTTTTTTTAAACTACATGCTATAGAGCCAAATCTTTTCCACACTGTGTTTGGAAAATTGGTTCAAGTTGGGTATGAGACATAAGTATAGTAAGCTTTGGGAGAAGGTTGATCTTAAGGAAAAACAAGGGACCTGTGGTCTAGCAGCAAGAAGTAAGTACGGGACTGGCTTGTGCTTCATCTGGTGGACTTGGATTAGTTCCAGGAAGCCAGTGGCTGGAAAATCCTTGAGAACTGGGTCTTACTCCTCCCTGGGTCTCATCAGAATTAGGAGAATCAGCACAGAACCTTCTATGAAGCCTCAGTCAACATTTTTTCATAAAATTAGGTGAGGCCTTTCAAGGAGGATAGAAAGTTAGGAATTGACTACAAAGAGGAAAAGTCTATAGTCATCAAATTGCATCCATGCCGGCCTTCCTCCAGAGGGGCAGCGGCGGCAGTGGCAGCAGCAATGTGTCTTAATCTTTGATATGCCTCCATAGCTCAGTAAAGCTTTACCGAATTATTATAAATGTGAAAAAGGCCCACCACTTTGCCTTGGGCAGCTGCACCAAATTGGAATTTCCAAACGTGACTTCTCATATTCCAACAGCTGGAGTGGGTAGCTCTCCTCCCCCTGTTGCTTTTTCCTACAGCTCTCCTGATCTCAGCGCCAGAGTGTGAGAGCAGCTGGGGAGCACAGCATTGTGTAATTACCTCCGTTCTGTTTCTGCTTAGTCAGTCTGCATTGTAATTGTTTGTCTGTTTCTCCTTGGATGATGAGCTACCCCCAGGCAGGGGTCATACCAGACTGGGTCTCATTAAAATGTCTGATGAATGAATTATGTTCCTTGTGGAATTACTGTTTATACAATGTAAATCTGGTTCCTTGACTGAGTAGAAACTTTTACTGTTCTGATGGAGATTCCCCGCTGAGTCCAGCAGGCCTGCCCTGCCCTGCCCTAGCAGACACAGAAGAGAGCATCTGCCCAGCCCTGTTGGAGAACTGGCTCTTTCCCTACCCTTTATCACCAGGCTGACCCCAGTATTTCCTCACCTGAGAATTTGGTAACTTTCTTTGGGACTGGATTGTAATTCATAAAACTTGGTAGCCCTTGGTTTCTCCTTTTTTAGTTTTATGGTTTCAGAGTCCTTCTCTTGTCCCAAACGCACTCCAGCCTATAAATATGCTAGGATAGGTCTTTAAAACAATAAACAACTTTTCCCTCTGTCTCCATCTCCCATTTTCAGCTAAATTTCCTGAGGCAGTAGCCTACATTCAGAGTATCTGTTTATTCTTTGGCCTACTGCAGTATTAGCTTTTCTGATGTGCCATGTACTGTGTTAAGTACTTTATATATAACACATTCCAATCTTATGTTTACAAGAATCCTATAAAGTAGGTGTTAGGAGATAACACTTCCATGGGTCTCATGTTCCCATATACCTTGCTGAATATGCCAAAAATGCAAGGCCCTGCCTGCAACAAACTCTCAGATGAGCCTATTCACAGAACTAGAGCCCTTTGAGTAAGAGGTGGCCTGGTCACCTTGAATAGGACCATGCTACAGTGGCAAAAATATATGCTGTAGATCTTCCTAATCTTTTTCAAATGTACTTGCAGCCTGGGTTGCATTAGAGACTGGGTACTGGACTGGGCGTTGGAGAAGGGGAAGTAAATAGAATTTTCAGGGATTACTAGACTTTGGATCTAAACTGATTCTAATTCTAGTAGATCCAAAATATAACTGTAGACCAGGCACAGTGGCTCATGCCTGTAATCCCAGCTACTTGGGAGGCTGAGGCAGGAGGATCACTTGAGTTCAGGAGTTTAAGGTTACAGTGAACTATGATGATACCACTGCACTCTAGCCTGGGCAACAGAGCAAGACCCTGTCTCAAAAAAAAAAGAAAAAAAAATCACTGTAGTTCCCCAGGCACAGTGGACTCACGATCAGGTGTGTGTAGGATTGGGAATGGGTTAACTCAGGTGTAGGTTTCTCAAACCCTGCACATTCCAAGGAAAGCCCATCTTTAGGACTGGCACCTGGCCTGCTCCTGGGAAATAACTACTGAGGCCTTGGAATATTCTATTTGATTAGTGTTTTTATATCCTGGAGGTCGTGGGCCATGCCATACCAGTTGGACCAGGTAAATTTATCCTAACAATGTGATTTATGGTTAACACCAAGTTTTGCTCTGGGAGGCTGGGTTCTGAGTAGCTGAGGTCAGTCATGTAGGTACTCCAAGCCTATGTGACTGACCCCCAGTAAAAACCCTGGACACCAAATCTCTCAGGTAAACTTCCCTGGTTGGAAACAATTGGCACACATTGTCACAAATCATTGCTAAGAGGATTAAGCACATTCCTGTACAACTCCACTGGGGGTGGACATCTGAAATTTTGTGTCTGGTTTCTTCTGGATTTTGCCCCATGTACTTTTTTCCTTTTGCTGATTTTAATCTGTATCCTTTTGCTTCAATAAACTATAACTGGGAGTATAGGAAAAATTAAATAAAAAAAAAAATAAGCAAATCCCTAGCCACTCTTTACCCAGGCTATTTCTCAGGATTGTGTCCATAGCAAGCAGCCACTGAGGGAGAGGTGATGTCTCCATCTGGGACAAAAAGCAGCTTACCAACTGCTTACTATAAAACAGCAGGTTTCCCAAGCTAATTGTTCCTCCCCTATAATGCAACTCATGGTGTGCCTAGCATCCATCTGGGCCCCTCCCATGTTGCCTCTGTAGGAGGCAAAAGGAACCAATGCCTACATGCTCATGCTGCTTATTGTGCCATGAACAATATGTCTTTTGTCTCTGACCTAGGAATCTCTTGTTTTCTGCCAGAATCCATGAAACAGTAACAGACTAATTTGTTAACTTGTAAGTAGGACAGCCTCAAATTCTAGACCTGACAGTAGATATTATCTCCCTTTAAGGGAAGAGGAAAGTGAGGCTCCGTGATATTAAATTACTTGCCCAGGATCATATATATATCACACAGGTAATTCTGAGGGCCAGTACTCCAAACCAGGTCTGACTCCAAAGCCAGCAGCTATATGACGTACAATTCCACTGAAACTGTACTTAGGATGACCAATGACCTAATTAACAAATCAATACTTCAGCTTTTATTTTATTTACTTTAATTTTCCTACTTAAAGTCTCCTGTAACTTAGCTTTCATACCCTACATTCTTCTAGCCTTCCTGGTACCTCTTGTGGCTTCCTCAAATGTGCACATGTGGGAATTCTTTCCCAGCGTTTCTTGGGAAATTTATATGTTTTTCCAAATCCCAAGAACAATCAGTCAAGAAACTGGGAAAATGCAAAAAAGTATTATAAATCTGTGGGAATTAAATGTTAACAATCAACATAGCAAAGTTACTAGTTCAAAGATATCACTGAAAGCAAAAAGAGGAAATGCTGACACACAGAAGTGAAAGTTAATGTCAACATCTCTGGGAAACAGACGGGAGCACCTAAAAGAAAAGATATCACTACATGATCAGGCAGTCTTGCTTATAGCTGTTGCCATTTTACAAGTCTGTGTGCCTGGCCCTGTCTGCTGCTAACCATAAGTCATTCTTGCAAATAAAATAAATATACTCACAGAATATTTTGTACAAATCCTATGAGTGGTGTTAAAGAAATCTGCTTTTGGAAGTAAATAAGTTGGTTTTTAAAAATTGCGATGGAGGTTTCAACGTTGTTTGTTGTGTGTGTGTGGTAAAATATATATAATGTAAAATTGACCATTTAACCATTTTTAAGTGAACAATTTGGTGACATTAGGTACATTCATAATGTTGTGTAACCATCACTACTATTTCCAGAACTTTTTTATTGTTCCAAATAGAAGCTCTATGCCCATGAAACCTTAACTCTCTTTTTTTTTAAGTCAAGCGAAGTAGTGGGAGTGTGAAGGAATAAACCACTGCACTCGGATCAGTCTTTTTTTTTTTTAAGACAGAGTCTCACTCTGTTGCCTGGAGTAGAGTGCCGTGGCGTCAGCCTAGCTCACAGCAACCTCAAACTCCTGGGCTCAAGCAATCCTGCTGCCTCAGCCTCCCGAGTGGCTGGGACTACAGACATGCACCACCATGCCCGGTTAATTTTTTTCTATATAGATTTTTAGTTGTCCAAATAATTTCTTTCTATTTTTAGTAGAGACGGGGTCTCGCTCTTGCTCAGGCTGGTCTCGAACTCCTGAGCTGACCGCCTTGGCCTCCCAGAGTGCTAGGATTACAGGCGTGAGCCACCGCACCCGGCCTTTTTTTTTTTTTTTTTTTTGATACAGTGTCTTGCTCTGTCACCCAGGCTAGAGTGCAGTGGCATCATGATAGCTCACCGCAACCTCCAACTAATGGGCTCAAGTGATTCTCCCACCTCAGCCTCCCAAAGTGCTAGTATCACAGGAGTGAGCCTTCGTGCCTGGCTAAACACTAACTCTTTCTACCCACCTTCCCCTTATCTCTGGTAACTTCTAATCCACTTTCTGTCTCTATGAATTTGCCTATTCTGGAGATTTCATATAAGTGGAATCATACAATATTTGTCCTTTTGTGTCTGGCTTATTTCACGTAACAATGTTTTCAAGGTTCATCCATGTTGTAGCAGGTATCAGAAGTTCATTCCTTTTAATAGTTTATTAACATTCCATTGTATATGTACATACCACATTTTGTTTATCCAGTGTCCAGCTGATGGATACTGGGTTGTTTCCACCTTTTTACTATTGTGAATAATGCCACTATAAACATTGATATACAAATATCTGT